ATGGGAATGACAAGGTTTATTGCTCTAAAATTTACTCAATTGAGTTTTAAAATTCATTAACAACAGTCATTTTCAGAAATGAAAATGGTTCATTTGTTTCTTTTTCAAATTTGCTCACTTTTTTCAAAGGTCCTATTTGTTGAATTTGTTTCTACTCCTCTATCTCTTTTAATTAATTTAAAAGCCTTATTTCTCTCTCTCTCTCTCTCTCTCTCTCTCTCTCTCTCTCTCTCTCTCTCTCTCTCTTTCTCTCTCACAGTTTCACCATCATCTCTAGTTCCCTGGGTACCGGTGCTCCTAGTTGTTCCATTTGCTGCCTTTCCCTCATGGTGGCTCTTTTCACATGAGGTGGATAGACAACAGGGGCAAATCCAGAGAATTCTGAGTGGGAAAGATTATGATCAATTATATTATCAATCAAGTTATCTTCTTTGTATAAAGGCAACAGCTACCGTATAGCAAAAGACTCAGAAAATACACATCGAGGGCTCCTATTAAAAAGATTAAAGTTACAGACCAGCTAATTATGAGATAAATCAACAGTAATAACTCAAGGGTCTAAGAAAAGAGGGCATATAAACAGCGATGTTCATTTTTCCCTTCTAAGAATCCATTCTGAGGACAAAATGTAAAGTGTGGTCAAGAAGCTATGCACCCACACATACTGGTACATTGCAGTTACTAATAAGAGCGGGAAGGAAATACTTAGGTGTCTTACATGGGCAGAATGTCCACGTGACAGAATGTTTACAAAGAGCTATTGTTTACGCTGAGAACTATTTATGATATATGTTAATTTTAAAACATGGGTTCAGCAATAGAAAGAAAAACTACACAGACGGTCAGAAGTAAATATGCCAAAATGTTAACAGTGATTAGATGATAAGATGACGGATATTTGGGTGTGTATTACTTAATGTTTTCTTACACACTGTGAATGTCAATGATGAGCCATATTAATTGTATAATCAGAAAAGAGTAAAACGTATATGATATTTTAGAAAAATGAAAACTTCTAAGGGTCACAAACTAACAGTCAAGCACATAAATATCGGGGGTAATATTAAATAAGAAAGATAAAATGTCATTACTGACTCTGACATCATTATAGTCTACAATTTACTCTCAACGCAGCAGCCAGAGCATCCTCTGAAAAGATGGGGGGCGGGGGGAGGGACTCAGGTCACGTCTCTCCTCCACTCCCGACCCTCAGAGGCTCCCCATTCCACTCAGAGTAAAAGCCAAAGTCCTACCATGGCCGGCAGGATCCAACCCCTGCCACGTCTCCCACCTCCTCTCCCGACCCTGACGAACGCCAGCCGCGCCGGTCTCCCCGCCAGTCCCCCAATCACCGAGCACCCACCTGCCCCGGGGCCTTTGCACTCACTACCCCTCGCCTGGCATGCTCCCATCCCTACAGCCACACAGTGTGCTTCAGAGCTCTGCTCAAATGCCATTGGACCAGGAAGCCCTCCCCCGCCTCCCCCGTATCGAATAACAGCCACCCCCACTGTCCCAGCACCCTCCCCCCTCCCCTGGCACTTTATCACCACCTGCGACATGGTGGGCGGCATTGACTCTACTGTGTTTGTGGCCTCCCTCCCATGAGAAGAGCTGTTTGGCCCGGTCCATAGAAGATGCTCAATAAGCATGTGCTGAGTGCCCGAATGGACACATGCATTACCAAGGGTCCTCAAACTACGGCCCGCGGCCACATGCAAATACAAATATTGTATTTGTTCCTGTTTTGTATTTTTACTTCAAAATAAGATGTGCAGTGTGCATAGGAATTTGTTCATAGTTTTTTTTAAACTATAGTCCAGCCTCCAACGGTCTGAGGGACAGTGAAAACTGGCCCCCTGTTTAAAAAGTTTGAGGACCCCTGCATTAGACTGTCAGTCCCCCCCCTCCCCCCTCCCCCCTGCTCGCACCACGGACGTGCACCAAACGGGCAGCAACGCCCACCTGACAAGCCCAGGGACGTGTAACCAGCGCTCATCTCACTCCAGAAAAACAGTGTTTAAAAGCTCAGCCAGAGATGATGGGAGCGAAGCATCCGAAGGAAAGATAAGAGCGTTGGTGCAAGAGTCTCCATCAGACCATTCACGTTCCCCCGTCAGGACGCGCTTCCCCCGCAGGACGGAGCTCCTCGGGCTTATCACGGATTCAGAACCAGCTGTAAGCGGCACTTCAAATGACATTTTAAATGCTCTTTCTATTTAGCTATCTCTTTGTTGTGATTAGATCTCTTTCTAAGCAAAATTTTTTAAAAAGGCATTAGCAAACCAATTACCCTGTCACTCTCCCATCCCAAACGTTGGCAGGAAAAGGCGGCACCTGGGCCGGTACCCAAGGGCGCCCGCACGCGGGACGCGCACACCGAGTGCCCACAGTGGGCCTGGCACTGCAGAGACGGGACGTCGCTCGTGTTCTTCATCTCGCTGAGTTTTATTCGCCTCTGGAAATTCAAGGACGAAGTGATAGTGTGATGCACAGCTTCATATGCGTTGCCTCAGCAAGATAAGGAAATTCGTCCTAAGCTATTTCAGATGTCCGGGCGCCGCGGTGCTCCGGCGATTAGGACGGGCCGGTGGTGGGCCCCGCACGTGCTATCCCGGGCCTGACTCTCAGGGATGCCAGGGCAGCTGGAGGTGGGGACCGGCAGGGCCGGCCGCCTTTGCAGCCGTCCACTAAGCTATTACGCTGGCGACATCCGTCTTGCCTTTCATCCACCTTCTTTTCTGTGACAGCTCCTTCATCTCTGTCCTCTAACAGCTCAGCCGTGACTGCCATTTCGTCCTGCGGAGGTGTCTCCCACAAGATGCCGTTTTAAGGAATGTCCTCTTTCCCAGAGAGCTGTGTCTTAGGGGAGACTTCCAGGAGGACCTCCCGTTCAAAGGGGGCGCTTCTGGCTGGGAGAGAGGGAGGCCTCTGATGCTTGCAGAGTACCTGTGCCAGGCCGGACATGTACGCTTTGCACATCAATCACTTTGTACATCACTTTGTACATCTAAGGACCTGGCTGAATTCTTTTTAAAAAAATATATATTTTATTGATTTTTTTACAGAGAGGAAGGGAGAGGGATAGAGAGTTAGAAACATCGATGAGAGAGAAACATCAATCAGCTGCCTCCTGCACACTCCCCACTGGGGATGTGCCCGCAACCAAGGTACATGCCCTTGACTGGAATCGAACCCAGGACCCGTGAGTCCGCAGGCCCACGCTCTATCCGCTGAGCCAAACCGGTCAGGGCCTGGCTGAATTCTTACAGCGTCTCTAAGAAACAGAGATTATCATCTCCGAGTCGGGATGAGGAATCAGGGACCTCCAGGCAAGGCGGAATGTTAGTTCACGTGTTGAGTACCTTCCCTGTTCCGAGGAGCATGTTCTAAACACAGCAAGCACACCTATCTGCGCTCAAAAACAAGATGTTCATCTTGATGGACGAGAAACTCCAAATGTTTCCTATTTGGAGGAGCTGAAGGCCCAGCCCGTGGAGTTCTGGGCCCTTCGGCCGGTGGAGGCAACCGGGAGCTTGGTCTTCTAGGGCACAGGGACCACGGGAAGTGGGGGACCAGAGCCAGAGCCACTGAAAATGGGGGCTAGTGACGGGATTTCCCATCTGGGAAAAGAGGCTGAAGAAGCAGAGCTCCCCCCTGCACCCCCTAACTAGAGCTCACCTAAGACTACGAACACGGAGGGGAGCTGGAAGCGGCACCCACACAGCCGGGGCCTGGCCAGGCTGCCTGAGGCTTTGATGACTGGCCCTGGGAATAGTCCCCTGGTCACCATGGACACAGCTCATCACTAGCCCGAGAGGCCTGGCTCTGCCCTGGGCCCCCCAGGACCTGGGTGGAGGTGATGAGCAGGGAGACCAAGAGGGGGACACGGACTCCCCTTCGAGATGAGCACACAAACCCAAACCCCAACGCACCCGGGGAAAGCCGACGCGAAGAGACAGAACCAGCAACACCAACAGCTGGGAGACAGTCCCAGAGACTTAGTGGCCTGAAGACAGGACTGATCAATGTGTGCAGGAAGATAAAGCAATAAACAAGGGCAGCGGGGGCCGCGGAGGACGGGCTGAGGGGCTCGCAGAAGGGGAGACACAGAACGGCAGGGGCAGCAGTGTTCAAGGACAGCCTGGCTGAGAATTTCCCAAACTGAAGGCCTCTCATGGGCCCTCAGAGTGAGAGCACATACCAAGTGCCACGCAAGGAAAGGGATCCACATGTGGTGACCGAGGGCGCGCTCCCGCTGCCAGGCGCATTCTGCTCCCACCACCCCCGTCCCGTGCCCCTCCCCGGAAGCTCCTGCCAATGTCCCGCTCCGGTGTGGCCCCACTTCCGATCCCGGTACAGGGAGGAAAGCCTGGGGTCTGGGGTTAGGAGATGCAGGTTCGAGCCCCACACCTGTGACGGCCCCACTGAGCTTCCATTTCTTCTCCTAAATGGGGAAGAACTAGAAGGACAGAACCTCTGCACCGGAAGGGCTTGTGGGTGGCATCACCACAGCGGACCTGGCTGCACTTCCTTCCGGCTCCCACAGGAGCCAGCTGAGTGCCCACCTCCCGAGCCTCCATTTCCCATCAGCGGAAGGGGATGCTGACACACCCTCATTCATCGTGAAAGGATTTAATGGATTCATACAGCGCAGTGCCAGGCTCATAATAAATGTTCAACCTGGGGTGGACGTTACTATTGCTATAATAATAGGTGCCCCCCGCCCCCCCCCCATGCCACGCAACCTACACCCAGTGTGAGGGCTTCCACCGAAGCCAGGGGCCCCAGGCATAGCAGAACCAGGGCCCACCGCCACCTCCACGCTGTGAAAATGGGCCAGCCAGCAGGTGACCCCCACCCTCCTCCCTGGTCACCCCCAGGAGGTCCTCCTTGACCTCCAGAGAAGCCCCTCCCCGTGACCAACCATGAACTTCCCCCGGTGGGATGGGCTCAGACCCGGCCCCAGGGCCCCCCGCCCGTTGCCCTGGGCACCCTACCTCTCTCTGCTCACTGCAGATCTTACACAGCCACAGGGGCCGCTTCTGGCCAGGGCAGGCCTCGATCCCACACTTGGTGCAGACTTTCTATAAGAGAGAGGACACGGGGAGGTCAACACTTGAGCGGCTTCCTCCTCAGCGGGGGGGGGCGGGGGGGGGCGGGGGGGGGCTGGGGAAGCCATCGCCGAGGAGCCCTCGGCCGTATTCTGAGGGATGGCGGTGGCTTCAGGCCAGAAGGGCAAATCACCCAAAGGGCACCGGTGGCCCTGGGGCACCACGGACCTGCCCACCCATGAATCTCCACGGCACAGATTCACCCCCACAATCACACTCTGTTAGGAGCACATCACAAATAAGCTGCCCGGCATTCACAGCTGCATCATGTTCCGCAGCGGGGAACTGGAAGCCGCCCAAACACCCGGTGCGAATGGAAGAGCCAAGCACAGGCAGCAGAATACGAGATGGCCCGGGCACAGCAGGCTGCGTCCCTCCCCGGAAAGGTGGGCGGCAGAGGATGTTATGCAACAAAGAAAAACGCATTTGTGTATAAGCACGCAAAAAAAGTCACGGGCGTGAGAAGATGCTGCCGTGAGAAGGACCAGCGACTTACTTCGTGCCCGGTCCCTTCACGGAACGAGCCCAGGCACCCTACTCCCTAAGCATCAGGCCCGTCTCACCGGTGAGGCATCGGGGGCTAGAAGTAGGTTGAGAATTTGCCAAGTTCACCCAGCAAGTAGCGGACTCAGGTCTGGCTCTGGAGCCGTTATGTAATTTCTCCAGACACGTAAGTAGCCAGAACCTCGTTCCTGCAGTGGCTGACCTTCTCTGCTGCTTAAGCTCAGAACTTAATACATATTTTGCTTCCCCGAAATGCACGGCAACACGGTGGTGGGAAAGGCCGGGTGACATGCCCCGGGAGGCAGGGGACCTGGTGGGGCTGAGACCCGTTCCCGGCTAACGGTACAGTCTGCCTCGGTGACAGCAGGCCCTCCTCTGAGCAGTGGCGCACGGGGCTACTCAATGTTTCTGCCACGGCCCTGCAGGCTGGGGGCTCTCTCTGGCCCCCCTACCTGCCCCAGCACTGAGGGAAGGCTGGATCTACCGCCTGGCCTTTCCTGCAGGCTGCCAACTGAGCAAGAAGCACACCCCTCTCCACACAGAGGAAAATGTCACCAACTTGGCTTCCCAGAGCCTGTCGTCCCCGCCTGATCGGGCAGCTGAGCCCGAGCTGCAGGAGGGGGAGCCAGCTGTCGGTGGAAGGGAAGCCGACACGTTCTTGGGGCGGAGGGTATGCATTGGCTACCATCCAATACCGTCCAATGAGAACTGTCACTTTCCTCCTGTTTCTCCAAATAAAAGGTAACCTCCCGGCTCCCAGCTCTCTGGGCTGGCAAGAAAGTCCATCCCCGTCACAGCGGGCCCCTTCCCAGCTCTCGTGAAGGTCCCGGGCTTGGGGAGGGTCCCTGTCTGGATGCTCACTTCTATGCTGCTCTCCCTCTGAGCTCCAGGGTCCCTTGGAGAGGAAGGGCCTGGCCACTTTTGTGTCAGGCCTGGGTCTGGCAGCCCGCCCCCGGGAGCCCTGGCCCACCACCCATGACCTGATCTGAAATCCCCTCTTCGCCACTAGGACTGCCTCTCGATATCCCTCCCAATCTCACCCCCCGCCCTTCTACCTCTAGGACAGGCCCCCCGTGAACCCACCAGGTGGAAATGCACACAGGCCTCTCCCCCAGGGGTAAAGGGAGAGGAAGGAGGTGCTGACGCCGGTTGGCTGTTTTCCTTCTAATTCCCACCACCCGGGATAAACAAACGGTGCACGTGTGAAAAGGAGTGTGGCCCTTCAAGGGCTGAGATGCTCCTGGTGAGTGTTCTACATGCTTATAGGGTGCGATGCCAGTCGCCCTCCAAGCACAGTGCCCTGCCCCTCCCCCTGAGACAACGGTGCCGGGAATAAGGAGAGAACACGAGACGGGTCGCTACCGTTTCCTGAGCAATTGCGTGTGCCAAGCAACAACGTATGAGGGAGGGGGAGGCAGGCTCTCCATGATGCAGCTGAAGACACGGAGGCTCTGAGATGGTAAAGGCCGCCGGAGGTCCCACTGCTACGTAGGCACAATCAGGCTCCGGGACCTAGGAGAGCTGGGTAACGCCCTCCCCTGCCCAGTGTCAAGCTGGTGCCCAGGGCTCTCCAAGGAGCCGGCTCACGTGCCTGGGGGTGTGGCTGATGATTCTCAAATGAATGAATGGGTAGAGGTGACACGGAATGACCTGGCACAGGCTGTGCTGGGGATGAGTGTGCAGCCGCATATGCTCATCGGCTCCACGGCGCTGGTTCTGGGAGTCTGGCTCCGCCCTCCTCGATATTCCTCTGGCGGGGAGGGCGGCCGCTCTTTCCCGGGCGGACAGGGAGCCCAGGCCCAGCAGCCTCCCCGGCAACACTCCATGGGCGTCCCCACAGCCTCCCTCCCACGCTGTGGCCGCCCCACCCCACACATTCAGCAAAGGTGGGGGGTTGCGGCCTCTGCCCCTGTCGCGGTCAGCTCAGGCTGCTATCACAAAACAAATCCTAGACGGGGTGGCTTACACAGCAGACACACGTGTCACGGTTCTGGGCCGGAACTCCCAGACCGGGGTGCCAGCAGGCCGGGTACTCGGAAAGGGCCCTTTCTATGTGCCCCCTTCCTTCTCGCTGTGCCCTCACATGGTGAAGAGAGAGCTCTGGGCTCCTCTGGGTATACAGCACGGATCCCACCACGGTGCCCACCCTCACGGCCTCATCCAACCCCAATCGCCTCCCAAAGGCCTCACTCCAGATAGCATCACATTGGAGTCAGGGCTTCCACACTCAGCCCCTGCCCAGGACTGTGCCCCCTCTTTTGCCTCTGCACACCGGGCCCCATCGTCATCTATCTCACCTGGATCGCTCCGAGCCCCTGTCCTCCCGAGGTCTCCCCCTCATGCCATCCTGCCCTGTCACCGACTCTGCTGTCCAAAAACTCTGCCCTGAGCCTGTTCCAAGCACTGCAGCTTGGTGCTCGGGCGCAGGCTTCGGAGTGAGGCAGGCCCGGGTGGGCCCGTGGGCAAGCTACGCAAAGCCTCTTAAGCCTCAGATGTTCTCCTCTGTGAAATGGGATCGTATCTGTGCCCTAGGGTTGTCTTGGGGGTTCACCGAGATTCACACGAAGAGCGACCAGCACGTTATACGCTTTCAATAACTGCCAGTTATTCCTATCAGCGACGCCCTCGCGCCCTGCTCCGAAACCCTGCGTGATTCTCCTCCAGACCTGTACCAGCTCGTGTGGTCGCCCCCAGCCACATGTGGCTATCTAAATCAAAATTAATTGAAACTAGATAAAAGGAAAAGCCCAGCTCCTCGGTCACACTGACCATATTTCAAGTGCTCAATAGCCACACGTCACATCGAATGGCACAGAAATAGAACATTTCTACCATCGCAGGAAGTCCTGCTGGATGGCACTGGGCCCCGGGACCTGGGCCTCGGCTTGGTGCCTCCGCACTCACCGCTGCCCTCGCTGGCCTGTCCCCACTGCTGCCCACAAGGCCTCACTTCCAATCAGCTGTGGGGATCCAGTGCTTGCCATTCTCAGCCTGTCGTTTGTCCTGGCCTCACCCCACCCCACCTCCCCATCTGAATCCTACTCGCCTTCCAATTTACTGATTCTTGTGACCGTCACCTGCCGAGTGCCCATGGGCCGCATGGCACAGTGCGGGGCAGGCAGGGCCCAGGCCTCATGCGTCCCCAGTGAAGCGCCCAACGCTCGGTCCCAGGTCAGCCTGCCTAGGCTGAGTGGCTGCCCGCTGCACTGCCAGAGTGATGGTTAAGCCGGGCTCGAAGGACGGGTGTGCACATGCCCTCAGTAAATATTGTCTGATTGATTACACATCCATGCTGGTGGGGAACAGAGAAAGAGACCAGGAGAGGGTGCCCAGAGCTGTGTGCTGTCTGCTACCCACAGACCACAGCATACAGACCACTTGGCCTGGGGACAGAGGTGGTGGGGGCCAGATGCCCGCAAGAGGCTGGTGGTCAGCTCCCACGCTGGAAGGAGGGGAGCGGGGGAGGGTGTGGATGAGTGGCACCTCCCGAATGCTCCCTCCTCCCTTTGCCCTGTGGGGTGCTTTGGAGGGGTTGGGGGTGGTACGACCAGGCACACCCTCCTCGCCCACGCACAGCCCTGTTTTCAGGCTGCCTGCCATCACGGGTGGAACCTGCGGTCAGATCCCACCATCTCTCAGTTGTGTCGTGTCTCTGGCTGGGGAATCCAGGCCAGCAAAAACATAACATGCTCCAGTTCAAGTAATACATAACTGCTCCGTTACTAAATCTCCAATCAGTAAGAGAATAATGAGCCTCTTCCCCTACGGGCTTGGTCTTTATTCCCAGGTTCCAAAAAAGAAAATGAAGCTGGTAGTATTTTAAAGATCCAGTGAGAGTATGAGCCAGCTGTGACATGAAGTCGGTGCACAGGGTGCACTCCACAGCCGTGTCAAGGACAGCTCTGGGGCCAGGGGCGGTCGCTTGCTTCCCTGCCTGAGATGGGCTTCCATTGAGCGGAATTGCCCTGGGCAAGTGAGCACTGGCTTCCCTGGTGGTCATGGCTGCCTCATGCTTCCCACAGCCTAGTATTGTGTCTGAGTGTCCAACAAACCAAGTCTAGCTCTGGGCCTCCCTCAGAGCAGAAGTGACAAAAGTCCAGGCCTTGCCCTGGCTGGTATGACTCAGTGGATAAAGCGTTGGCCTGCGGACTGAAGGGTCCTGGGTTCGATTCCGGTCAAGGGCATGTACCTTGGTTGCGGGCACATCCCCAGTAGGGGGTGTGCAAGAGGCAGCTGATCGATGTTTCTCTTCATCGATGTTTCTAACTCTCTATCCCTCTCCCTTCCTCTCTGTAAAAAATCAATAAAATATATTAAAAAAAAAAAAAGTAAGTCCAGGCCTTCAGTTGGCACATACAATCCCCTCAATCCTGTCTCGGGCACTCCACGCGTTCCTTTTGCACACATGTATCCCAGACGAGAGCACACAGGGGGAAGGGGATGGTTCAGGGGCTGGCCCACAGGCACAGACTTTGAGGTCGTTCAGATGCAACCTTAGACTTGTCACTGACCTTCTCTGAGGCGCATTTCCTCATCTGTGAAACAGTGGTAACAGGCGGACTCATGCCACCGCAGGGAGGATCAAGGCAGACGATTCATGAAAGTGCTTCGCACAGAACATGGTACAGAGCAGGCAGTAACCACAGTCCTGTCCCACATGCCTGGGTCCGTAGAGGGTGCCAGCACCCATCAGTGATACAAGCCAAAACCCAGAATCATCCTCCATCCTCCCTCTCCCTCATTTCCACCCAAATAATCCATCTCCAAAAACTTTAAATTTTGACTGTCAACTGCCCTCTATCACCCTCCCCGATCCGTGCTGCCCCTCGAGGGCCCAGCCTGCACCGGGCCCCCCCAGGCGGTCTCCTCATCCCCACTTTGGCCAGCCTCCAGCTGGTTCCCGATATGGCAGCCAGAGTGATCTTTTCAAGATGCAAATCTAATCATGTTATTTCTCCCATCCCTGCCAGCATAAAAGCTTTCAAAGACTTCCTGTGGCTCTCTGGATGAAAACAGCCCCTTTCGCAGGGTGTGAGGCCCGCTCAGGCTAGACTCTCCCTCCTTGCCAGCCCTTCCCCCGGCCCTGGTGCTGCGAGCCCCAGCCTGTCTTCAGTCTCTGGTCCTCACTGTTTTTCCTGCCACAGGACCTTGGCACGTGCTGCTCTCTCTGTCTGGGATGCACTTGGTCACACTCCCTCTTCGTTACCTTTCAGACCTCCGCAAAAGCACCACTTCTTCAAGGAAGCCCTCCCTGACTTCCTCCCTGGTTGGAGCTTCCTATAATAAGCTCTTGCCTTTTGTCCTCAGCTGCCGGGAATTTTAGCCTCATTCACGTGGCTCTATGACTACCACCACTTCCTCTCCCAGCTGTCAGCTCCCCGAGGGCAGAGGCCAGGTCTGTTCTGTTCACCTTCCTACTCCCAGTGCCTGGCACAGTGAACGTTTGCAGAATAAATGAATGAACAAACAGCAGCTACTTGTACTATTGCAATTGAGAAGGCAAGATGTGGTCCCTCTTAGCAGGTGCCAGTTACCGAGGAGACGAGACACAGAGAGACAGGAAACACCCACGTGGCAGCACAGGGGAGGCGGTGGGAGAGCCTGCGCTCGGGGGAGGGTGTCCAGGGGTGGCCGGGCTGCGGGCCGGGCAGACCTCACTCTCAGAGTATGTGTGTGACCCAGGCTGGCCCGAACCCCAGGGAAAGGGCTCTGAGTATCCCATGTTAACGGTCGCACCCCACAGGACCCCTCCTGGCCTGTCCTCCACCCTGGGGTGCAGCCGGCAGGGCTGGAGAGGTCATGTGGGTGCGACACTTAACAACGGATGCTCAGTGCCCTTTCCTCTCCCGGGGAATACAGCCTCATCCTAATGTCTGAGGGGGCGCCCTCCTCAACGTCCTCATAACCCCGGCCACTCGGGTGACCCCTGGCCTCCCTGGAGGGCCGCCACTGCCAGGTAACACCTTCACCTTCCCACACCGCCGCCGAGAGGCAGGAAGTGCAAGGGGACCTTCGAGGCGAGGTGCACCTGCGCTCGGGCCCTGGCTCCCAGGTGGGCCTTCACAGCCTCCCTGTGAGTCCCCGCCCACCTCACGCAGAACCCCCAGCTCCACCGGGGGTTCCCGAACTGATCTGATCAGAGGAAGAAAGGGGGTGCGGGGCCGGGAACAAAGCTGCTCAGCACACAGACACCAACGCCTCTCAGGAACATTCAGTAACCGGGGAACAGCTCGCACCCTCCACAGGCCCCGAGGGCCCGGCGGGATTATCATCCATCACACAGACAGAGAGGTTGGCGACGCTCAGTCAACCAAAATAAGATGAAACTGTGCTCAAGTGTTCCGTACAAGGAGGCCAGGAAATGTACGCTGCACGGCAGAAGTGAATATTGAAGACGGTTAATTTAAAAATATTTGATGCTTTAATTCAACTAACGTTTCGTCGATACTGGTGCAAGGCTTTGTTCTGGGAGCGACGAGGATGAGCCAGGCACAGCCCACTGTCCTCCAGTGTCCCAGGGGCTGGAGGAGTTTGTGAACTGGCAAGACTCGTGTGGAAAGGACTTTGCCAAGGTTCCAGCCAACCGACAATGCCAGTGAGCGGGTCTCTCTGTGAACGACGCTCACATGATGCGCACAGGCCCCCAAGGAAGGGCAGAAATGGCTACATACGAACAACAGCAGCACACGCACGAAGCAACGTGAAGACGGGACCCCGCACGTATGCATCCACACTGCACGGTGTGTTCTCGTTGCCAGAAAGCAAACCTTCAACAAGGAAGCATCTGATTGTGTTTTAGGGAAAACGACGCAGCAATACAGGCTTCTAGAAGCGGCACCGCCCTGCGAGCAGGCCCTTCTCTCCCACACATGGCGCTGCTCCGGGACCACCACCCCCCCCCCCACCCCCCCCCCGGCCCCCACCCTTCTGATATTTTATAAAAGCTAGATCTCTTTTTCTCCATTTTCTATTTGTGTAATTTAAAATACAACATTTATTGAAAAATTGGCTCATGCAAACTTCCCTGATCTAATTGATTAGGCCCGATACAAATGAGAAATATACTTCCCCGAGTCTTTCATCATTTAGATGCATATGCTAGCTTCACAAGCATTTGCAAAGAACTGCTCCCATGCAATCACTCATATTCACTTTTGACCGGGTGTCTGACTGAAGTCCATTTATTGTCTAAAGTTCACATTTGGAGTCAGTTATTTTCATGCAGTGTCTCTGCTTTCACTTCAGGAAGGCTCTGCTTCTCCAAATTTAATGGAAAGAGCAATGTAGCTAGAGATTTATAATACCAAGTAAGGTTTTGAAAACATATATTTCAATGGGTTAGGTAGGTATACAAAACTGATGATGTGAACACTGGGTGGAGATTTAGATTCACTTCAATTGCAGGTTTGCCTACCAGGGGTGGGGCAAACTTTTTGACTCGAGGGCCACAATGGGTTCTTAAACTGGACTGGAGGG